GTACCCTCCACCAAGGCCTGTGGGAGGTGGGCGTCTGGGAGGAGCCCCCACAGAGCCACAGAAGACCCTCAGCGCACTGTGACCTCCTCCAGGGAGAAGGCAGCACGCTGATCCACAGGGGAGCAGAACAGAGGAGGAAAACAGAACCGGAGTCCATCAGCGCTCACATGGGGCTGGGGGGGGGACAAGGCCTCCTCCCGGGGGCCACAGTGGCCTGGGGCTGGGGGGGGACAAGGCCTCCTCCCGGGGGCCACAGTGGCCTGGGGCTGGGGTCTCATTTCCCTGTCACTTGCAAACTGCACCTGGGGTCAGTCAAGTCTTTCATCAGAAGCTGTGTGAGGTCACGCCCTGCTGAGCCCGAGCAGGTCACTCTGAGGACAAACGAGTGCTCAGGGCCTGGGCAGAGCGGAGAGGCTCTGGTCCTCCCGGGCCAGCTCCCAGCTCCCCGGCTGGTTGAGGAGCGTGTGAGGCACTGCGCTGGCCTCAGCCCCTGGACGTGCACGCGTCCGAGGGCTGGCACACCATCACAGAGACAGCTCTGAAAGTCAGCAGTGTCTTTTGTATTCCAAAGGCCAAAGGGCAAACTTGCCGTAATTAAAATGCGCGTCCTTTAATTAAAGACCCCATAACACATGAAGGGCACTCCCTGAAATACGATGTGTGACACAGTCATTACCCTGCCGTTAATTACTAATTAATGAAGCTATTTCAATTAATAGCTTCCCCGCCGTTGCTCCCCTAGCCAGTCCCCGTGCTGGGGTCCTTCCCCAGATCACAGACCGTGGCTGCGTGCCAGCCTCTCAGCACTGAATATTCATGACTCTTTTCAATTAAACATAACAGCGTACATCCCAAATCCCACCATAACTGTGTTTCCACTCACGACGTCTCTGCCCTCCCCACGCGGCCTGGCAGGTCCCGGGCGGGGTGCCGGTGGAGGTCCTCGGCTGCTCCCCCGTCCAGCAGATGGCGGGGGAGCGTGGCCAGGCCCACGCACAGCCCTGGGTCCGAGTCTGCACCCAGGGGCTGATATCCAGGAAAAGGGGGGACTCTGTTGTCCCATTGCTGAAGGACAATGGCTGAGAAATGGAGGGGGACATTAACATATTAATTATGAATATTAAGCAGTCATTAAAGAGAAATGACAGGAAAGTGTCACTTATGGTGGCCAGGAAGGAACAGTTGTGTACCTGAGCAGGAAACGCGCGGTGGGGGCTCCGCAGGGCTGGCCGGACACGCAGGTGGACCGGCAGGAGGCAGGGGGACTTGGGGACAGGACTGCGGTCTACAGGGGAGCACTCCCCAGGAAGAGGCCAGCCACAGACACTTCCGAGGGTCACAGCGCTGTGGGTGGCCTTGGAGTCGGTTTGAGGCCAACCCCGAAGGACAGTGCCAAAGGGCGCGACCTGCCTCCACCTGCCTCTCCATCATGGGCCCAGAGCCCACCCCGAGGACATCACCCCTCGCCAAGTCCCATGGGGACCAGAGCCACCCGTGGACAGGGCTTACACCCACAGGGGGCGGGCGCGGGGCCGGGGCTCCCAGTCCATCTTCAAGGCAGCCCAGCCACGCTGCCTGTGCCCGCTGAGCCCCTGAGGGCTCACGGCCTCCTCCACCCTTGGGTCTGAGGAGGATCCCAGGAGCAAGTGGCTCACTACTGGGGGCCAGGCTCCCTGAGGGGGCATTGTGCCCAGAACAAGGAGAGGTGGGGGACAGGCCTGGGGCCCAGGCGGTTAGGAGGCCCTCGAAACCCAAGGCGGTGCAAGCACCTTCTTTGCATTCTTACAAAAGCCAGGAGCAGCAGGGAGGGCCTGCTGCAGGGATCAGACCAGGGACCCCAGGCCAGCGCCTGCCAGGTCCCCAGCAACCCCCCTCCTCTCCCGAGCCCCACCTCTCAGGCTCACGCCTTCCCTTGGCAACAAGAACTGGCTGTGACTCCCCAGCCATCATCCACGCTGTCCCTGTGCGGGCACCTGCTCCACACAGTGTCGCAGGAAAGAGACTCCATCCACGCCGAGGAGACACGCCTGTCCGACAGTGCCCTCTGCCAGCCAGAGAGGAAATGGCAAGCGCCCTGTCCAGCTGCGGAGGGCTCAGGGCACCCAGACACAGCCCTGCTTCCAGGCCAAAGGCCCAGGTAGACGCTGTGGGCACCCTGGCTCCCGTGCTCAGCCTCGGAGCCCTAAAGTTCCCGTCCTAGAAACCAGGGCTCGGGCATCCAGCCTGGGTCCGAGCGGAGTCCCCGGCTGCAGTGGAATCTGTCTCCTGAGAAGAGTCGGGAAGCTTCCCTGATCCGACCCTGGGGCCAAGGGGTCAGGGGGGATCAGGGGGTCAGGGGACCCACACAGCACTCCAGACACTGCCAGCTCCGCTCAGGGCAGCTCTGAGAACACAGCCCGAGGCCCTGCACCTCCTCCTCTGGCTGCCCGAGGCCCAGCCTCCTCTTCAAGGCACATGCTGTGCCCATCGCCAAGCCAGTGCCCCGCGGTCCTCCCCACACAGCCCTTCCAGCTCATCTAAACTCCCCGCACAGGCCGCCTGCCTGACCGACCCTGAGCAGCACCCTGCCCACCACAGCGCTGTCCCTCCGTCCAGTCCTCTTCAGGACGGTCCTCCATGGCCAGTAAAGACTTGATGGAGGAGGGTCAGGAAGAAGGAATCATGCTCGTGAACAGCCACTCCAGCAGCACCCACAGCCACCCTGCCCACAGCACCCACGGCCACCCTGCTCACAGCACCCACGGCCACCCTGCCCACAGCACCCACAGCCACCCTGCCCATAGCACCCACAACCACCCTGCCCATAGCACCCACAGCCACCCTGCCCACAGCACCAACGGCCACCCTGCCCACAGCACCCACAGCCACCCTGCCCACAGCACCCACAACCACCCTGCCCACAGCACCCACAGCCACCCTGCCCACAGCACCCAC